AGTGTAGCGATAGGGTAGTGGCAGCTAGCGCTGCCATAGCCATAGCCTAGTGTGTGTGTGTTGTGTATGAACACTGAGTGTTGCGTGTGGGACATCCAGGGTGATCTCGAGTGGGAACAGTGAGTTGTAGGGGCGCACAGTCGCCATAGCCAGTTGGAAGAGAACTCATATCTGGTTACGATATCTTTGAGTACTGTGTGGGCGCATGTCGCCAGTTTGCTGTATTGCTGTTTGCAAGCATGATGAAGTGTGAATAAGTCGAGTATGATTGCAAAATCCAGAAACAGGCATTTACTATTTAGTTAAAATTAACACTTGTTTTTTTCAATTTCCACAAAATTGGGGGTCCAAAAAGAGAAACAAAAAAAACAAAAAAAAGCAGTATTTTTTTGCATTTGTTTCAGTGCTGGGCCGGCAACTGGCCGGTTGAGCTACCCCGGTCCAACCGGAGCCGGATCAGCCCAGGGGGGGTGAACCGGGAAACCGGTTTTGAAAAAAAAGTGCCCAAATATCTTTTTTTTTTTTTTTTTTCGGCAGATTCCGACTGCGCTCTTCAAGAGCTGTCGGAATCCGCAATAAAATTTTCAAGGTGCAATATTTTTCAGGGGGCTTCCGGAGGGGGGCAGGGGGTTATTATTGACAAATTCAGGCAACGATGGCTTCCACGGGGAGGGATCAAGTAAGCCAGCTCACTTGTACGACCCCCCCGTGGCCGGAGCACTTCGTGGAGTGTGTCCTTTGATATTGATACCCCACGAGCTGAACCAGATACGATGAGAGGAGGTCCTTGCCAGAAGTTATAGCTCTTCCACAGTATAACTCGACAGCAGAAGAGTTATGGTTCCAGCTTTCAGCTCGTGGAGGCAGAGCGTTTTCTGTTTGTTGGTTTCTACATAAGGTGAGTTATCAGTCCGGAAGTATCTTGCCTGGTAGTCTGTGCAGATACATGTACTGGAGCAAGGTCCATTCGAGATAGATAGAGAGAAGAATATAGCTTAGGGCTTGCACCTTGGACGGCTCTGACATCACGATTCCAAAATCCGAACCCATAACTTTTTCCACACATGGCAGGGACGTTGCAGAAGGATATAATCTCATCAGCAGAGCCTCCTCACAATCATAGTGTTCTCCTCGTGGCTGAGGGTGAAAGAGCATCAGATGTTGCCAATGGTAACTGGTCCGTTGGACCACAAGATGACAAATTGGAGACGCGGCCTACCGATCCACATCTTAAGAAAAATGTGTGGCGGTTCTCCGCTGCTGATCTGCAAAGATCAGCGGCCGATATCCTCTGCCCGTTTTTCTTAAGAAATGGGGTCCTGGCCGATCTTTGCTGCTGATCTGCAACGATCGGCGGCCAAGATTGGCCACTTTTTGGACTTGAAAAATCCGGGCCTACAGGACCCGGTTTCAAAATTGCGGGGCAGGGCCCACCCCCACGAGGCCTCGGGAACACATACGCACTGGCAAAGAAAAAAAATTATGGCCCCAGCGAAAAACAAATGTGCGGCGGGCAACCTGGAGGGAACCGGCCGGGGCCACCGGCCGGTCCAACCGGGAGGACCGCGGATGGGGTAGGGGTCCCCGGTCCATCCGCGACCCTCGGATGTATTTTGACGGTATTTTACGTCGAGGTACATGAGATGGTCAAGCATCCCCAGGACGCGGGACCCGCAATGCTCTGACGTCGTAGGGACAAAAACAATTACGAACAAATAATGAATGGCTAGCTAAGCGGGCGTTGGAGCAACTCTCCCTATCACGATGGAAGGACAAACACACTTCCCTCCTAGGTATAACGCTGGTCATCAATAACGTGATCTTGGCCTCCCTCCGGTACAAATCGGCGATCGGTCGCTTGGTAATGAGGGACTCCGCTCAATCCAAAGACGAGTACCTGCCTTTTCTTGTCTGGTACAAATCGGCGATTTATGGATCTTGGCCTCCCTCTGGTACAAATCCGCAATTTATGGAAAGAAAACCATGAATATAAATTATAAATATTATAGAAATGTGATTATTCAGACTATGTCTAAAGGGGGATTGGGAATCATAAAAATCCAGCTACCCGAGTCATGGCACTTCCTTTCCTTTCGGTGCACAAAAAATCTTCCTTTCACTTCACTCTTGGCATGTGTATTGTATTGTCTGCTATACACAACTCCACACAAAAGGCACGACTGTGCTAGACTGTCCGTTGAACTTTCCGTTGGACATTCCGTTGAACTTTCACCGACGCATCAGGGTGTGTTGTCATGTTTGCTATACACGCAACTCCACAGAAAAAGCCTGACTGTGCCAGCCTGTTTTGTCGGACTCTTACGACTGTTCCGTTGAACTTCCGTTGAACTTGCCGTTGAACTTCTGTTGAACTTCTGTTGAACTTTCCGTTGAACTTTCCGTTGAACTTTCACCGACGCATCAGGGTGTGTTGTCATGTTCCCTATGCACACAACTCCACAGAAAAAGCCTGACTGTGC